TCAAAGGTCTACAGTATAACTTGTTTAAAACCACACAAATCCTATAACCCCCCCCCCAACCCCCTCAGTGATAGCTACAGTTGCATGTTTCCTGTTGAGAAAATGGTTTCTTTGTGGTCTATAACAATGATAGTTTTGTTTCCTTCTGTTCAGAAAGATACTGAATAATTTAGGTTCTTATTTCACGTTTGCAGCATTAACTATTTCTGCTTTTCATTTCCTTTTGATTTTTTTCTTTTGGGATTTTGTCTTGCTGTATAGCTCAAGTTTTCCTTGAATTTAATCCTTTTGAGTGCTGGGATTACAGGAATGGACTATTATGCAGCTTAATGTTTGCTGCATTTTAATAGTTTAAGTAAATAGACTGAAGGGAATTGTCAGGACAGTGTGCTGGATATAGAAGTGTATTTTTAAAGGATACATTTTCATTTTTTAAAGAAGTGTTAAGTAGTGTTTGTTCTAAGTTAGAATAGGTGTTGCAGAAAGCTTTTGAAGTTTGTTAAATCTTATAGAAAGTAGACATTTCTTTTAAATGAGTACAAAGTTATTTTCCTTTGTTTTTATAAGTTGCCAGTTAATTTTGTTAATATTAATACAATTAATATTGTTTTTTGAAATCAGTTAACCAAAGAAACAAAAAGCCATGTGAAAAATAAAGTCATGCTTGGTGGTTGTATGCTTTTAATTGCTCTCCTAGGAAAGCAGAAGCAGGGGCATCTATTAATTTAAGGCCAGCTTGGCCACAAAACAAGTTTAAAAACCAAAAAAGGCTATTATGTTGGCTTATACATGTAATCTGAGGATGTAGAAGACTGAGGCAGGAGGATTGCCATGAGGTTAAGGCCAGCCTTTATGACGTGTTTTCTTAAAACCACATGTTGTTCTTTCCTGTCTTGTTTTTCAGATGAGAATTGGAAGACAGAGTATGTCCCAGTGCCTATTCCTGTACCTGTGTATGTCCCTGTACCTATGCACATGTACAGCCAGAATATTCCTGTTCCTACCACAGTTCCTGTTCCTGTGCGTGCGCTTTTACTCTTTCAGTCTAAGCTTCTGCAGGCTGTTTGGGAAACTTGTTTGTAGTTACTAGTCTGGTGATGCTGGCAGAGCTGTACTGATTACAGTTGCTGTGACAAAGTTGGTTTAATGGGAGGAGGATTTTCATTTTGGTTCATGGTTATGAACTTCAAAAGAGGTTCTACCTTCTAATGGTTCCACAGCCTTTCAGAACAGCACCAGCAGCTGGGGACCAAATAAATGTTCAAATACACGAGCCTATGAGGTGCTGTTGACATTTGTACCCAGTAGAAGCCATCTGTCCTGCTTTTCCATGGTTAGACTTTGTCAGCTTCCTGTTATCATGTTGATGCTTTTTAAGCTGAGCAGATGGGTGATATCTGCTGTGTCAATACTGTATTTTATATTTGAGTTTATTTTTGGAAGGAACTTTTTTCAAGCCATAAAGTTTAGAATTGAAACACAGAATAGAGGTTCTTAAAATATTCACTTAATCACAAATCACCTGTAATGTTTAGATTTGTGTTTGAGCTTGACTTATTTTTCCCAATTTTATTTTTAAAGTATTTGTGTTCTGGGATTTTCTTGTCATGGTAGACTTCTTAGTTTTGATATTTAGTCTTGCTAAAGGCTTTTTTCAATAATGTATTTATATAATAGTAGGTCATACATTTCATTTGGGAAAATAGCTTGTATTGTTTAGTATACCTAACAGTAAATGCTTTGGTTAGGTGCCCATTCCTGTGTTTCTGCCTGCTCCATTGGACAGCAATGAGAAGATTCCTGCCACAGTTGAGGATCTCAAAAGCAAAGTTTCTTCAGATTCTCTTGATACAGAATTGCTTACAATGACAGATATGATGACTGAAGAGGAGGGGAAAACAGAGGCATCCAACATCAATAGTGAGCTACACTACTCAGTTTGTCAATAAGAGGTTTGGGGGATGGGTTATATGTATTGTCATTATTACAATACTTAAAGGCATATCCTGTAGCAATACTTAATAAGACATTAGGAGAAAGCATTATAGCAGAAATATTATATATTAAGAAATAACACATTTTGGCTCAGCGGTTAAGAGTACTAGTTGCTCTTGCAGAAGACCTAGGTTTGGCTCCCAGCACCTACATGTTTATATATTCCTTTAATTCCAGTTCCGGAGGTTCCAATGCCCTCTTCTGGCCTTCACAGGCATAAGATGTGCAAGTACTGCATGGATATACATACATATACAACTCCTGTACACATAAAGCAACAAAAAATTTTTTTTATAAAGAGAAATATACACTCCACCTTGATCTAATGTTAACCTTGATCTCTAGTGGAATAATTGGTTTTATTTTGAGATGGAGACTTAGTATGTATCCTGGGCAATGATAAACTCTTGGCCTCAAGAGGTCTTCCAGCCTCATCTTCTGAAGTAGATAAGATTACTTTTACCTACCATCACATCTACTTGTGTTCTCCAAAAATCAAAAGTCTTTTTAAATATTTATTTATGTGTTGGAGAGTTGCACATGTGTATGCCTGGTACTTGTGGAGCTCAGAAGATATCCTTATATCTGTTGGAAGTGGAGTTACAGATGATTGTGAGCCAACCTGTAAGGGCTGGAGACTGAACTTGGGTCCTTTGCAAGAGCAGATATTGCTCCTAATTTACTCACTCCCTGGTTTTTTTGATTTTTTTTTTAATAGTAATAAGATTTGATATTTGTTTTGTGATAAATATTTCCAGTAATACTTTAAATTATATTTGATTAGTATAAAGAATAGTTTATCCAAACCAGAATTTATCCTACTTTCTGTTAGGACACAGTTGCTACATAGTGGTGTCGTGATTTAATATGAGCGTTTTGTTGGGCGACTCTGTCCTTGTGAACATTTATTCCTACCCCCAGCCTTCTGGTAATATTTAGAATCCATTTTTAGTCCTGAACTGCCTGTTTGCCTTTATACTAGAAGACAATTGTAGTTGCTTTGCAGTATTCTCAGAGGTTGTAAAATGAAGTGGATTTTAATTAGTGGTATGGTGTTTTTGTGTTTTTTTTGTTGTTATTTTCGTTTGTTTGTTTGTTTGTTTTTGAGATAGTGTTTCTGTGTGTAGCTTTGGTTATCCTGGAACTAGTGCTGTAGACTAGGCTGGCCTCAAATTTACAGAGATCCTTTTGTCTCTACTTCTCAAGTACTGGGATTAGAGGCATGTGCCCCACCACCCAGCTTGGTGTTTGTTTTTAATTAAAAATAAAATATAGACATCCACTTGGTTCTTGTGCTCAGGTTTTGGAGGGTGAGTTCTAGTTATGTCTAGTACATAACAAAACAATGCCCCATGGGAGGAAGAATGAGAAACCACGTCATGAATCCTTCATAGAAAAGTTAAGTTGTTTTGTGAACACCTTTGTTTCCTAATTGAATATATTTGTCTTATTTTTCTGTCTGGAGACCTATTGTCACTCTGAAGTATACATTGGATAGAATGCATTAGTAACTGTACAGCAAAAAGGTTAAGCAAACAAATACAGTAGTTATTAACAAGCATATAATATGTGGAAACTTGGTCAAAATTCAGAAATACTGTTTGAAAATTGTAGTTATTTACCTCCACAAGTTTATTTCTGATAAAGAATTGATTTTATGAATATTGACTTGGGGAAATGGCCACCTCAGTGAAGTGCCTGCCACACAGGCATGAGAACCTGAATTGGGATCCTCAGAACCTACTTCAGAGATCAGGCGTAACCCTAGTGTGAATGGACAGGGTAGAGGAAGGAGGGAAAGTGGATCCAGTCAACAAAGAAAACCACAGGACATCAGCCTCCAGTTGCCACATGCATTCTTGTCTAAGTGGAAGTACTTACGTCACACTGGCAAATAATATGTATGTGTGTTTCTCTCTTTCTCTTTCGCGCACACACAAATATTCTAACATAGGAATTGTTTTATTGTTATATTAACTTTTGAAAAGGGATAGCCAGAATGTATAGGATTGAGAGTTTCCAATTATAGTTATAAATTTTATAGTAGCTTACATATTAATATTGGTATATACTTTTTCCTTTTGGAGATTAAGTACAGATACTGTTGAGTTTTTTAAAATTTGATCTCTAATGATACTACTGCTTGGTTACAGGTGTAATTATTGAGACAGACATAATTGGCTCAGATCTTACAAAGAACTCTGACCCAGATACACAATCCAACATGCCCGATGTACCATATGAACCAGATTTGGACATTGAAATAGATTTCCCCAGAGGTACTTAAATATTACTTTATCTTAATTAAGTCAAGTTACATATTATATTTAAGGTAATTGATCAACAGTGTTTGTATCATTACCTCTTGTCCTCATAATTATTTCTTTTTTCCATGTGTCCTTTGCAGTGGAGGATGCTGGGGATGTGCTTTTCCACGTAGCTGCATTCTTCTTTCTTTGTTTTTTATTTTCCCAAATAAAACTGAATTAATTACAGGAACTTTAGAAACCAGAGAAGAATACAATACTTGTATTTTTTCAAGAGGCATTGATAGTATTGGGGTAGAGGTAGGGATCATGATAGGGTTTTGCTCTATATAGTCCATGCTGGCCCCCAACTCCAAGCATTCCTCTCAGCCTCTCATGCTGGGATCATAGGTGTGTGTCAGATGTCTAGTTTGGTGGGCATTTTTCTTAATGTTCTTGAAAGTTAAATTCACATTTAAAGGAAAAGAGTATATTTACTTTTTTTTTTTTTTTAAAGACATATGACTGGGGCAGGAGAGATGGCTAAGATAGTTAAGAATCCTGACTGTTCTTCCAGAGTTCATTTCCCAGCAACCACATGGTGGCTCACAGCCATCTGTAATAGGATCTGATGCCCTCTTCTGGTGTGCATGAAGACAGTTACAGTGTACTCATATAAATAAAATAAATAAATATTTAAAAAAAAAAGACATAGTCTCAACTGCTTCTTGCTGTTTAGTGCAGATTAAGTGTAGAAGTGTTCCATCTGGATATCTTTGCATGCTCCTGCAGTCCCAGCACTTGAAGACGGAGGCTGAGTTGGAGTTGTTACTGGCAGCTACTATCACCTTGTGAGGTCAATCTGACTTAATAAAAAAAGACAAGTGTTTCAAAGTCTCCTGTGTTAGTACATATCTGTAGTTCTGCTACTAAGGTAGGAGGATTGTCAGCTGCAGACCCTGTAGTCCCAGGCCACAAGCAGACAGAGAGGAATGTGTTCCTTTTCTCATTTTCCCCTAATTTATGAATTCCTATTGAATGAAATTTCAAGCATTCAATGAAAAAAGCTTAATAGATTAAACTAGATTGGCACTTTAGATCTTCTAACTAAATTTTTAGTTGTTTCCTTTTTCTTTCTTTTCTTTCTTTCTTTCTTTTTTTTTTTTGGTTTTTTGAGACAGGGTTTCTCTGTGTAGCCCTGGCTGTCCTGGAACTCACTCTGTAGACCAGGCTGGCCTCGAACTCAGAAATCCACCTGCTTCTTCCTCCCAAGTGCTGGGATTAAAGGCATGCACCACCACTGACCACTTTTCTGTTATCATACAGTTCTGACCTTTTTCTGTTATCATACAGTTCTATATTTCTGTGTTTATACTTGTTATACATGGTGGTTTTTAGTAGTATGAATATGAGTCTCCTTGTGCCTAGACTAGCTGAAACCTATCCTCATGTCTGAATGATCCTTCATGCTTATGTAACATACGCTTGATTTGTTATATTTGAAATAAAATATTTTCTGATTTGTCAGCTGCGGAGGAGCTTGATATGGAAAATGAGTTTTTATTACCACCTGTTTTTGGAGAAGAGTATGAGGAGCAGCCCAGACCACGATCTAAAAAAAAGGTACAGACTTTGTTAGTGCTTTTATGTCTTTTATTCATTTAATATCTCTGTAGCATGGCAGAGAAAGATGCTTTGGTGATTTCTTGTACCTGACAATATGGGAAGATAGATGTTAAAATTAATTTTAATACAAGGTCAAAATAGAAAATAGTTGATTTAAAAAGGAAATTCAACTCTGACAATAACAGAGACTGTTCTCTGAGTGAGCATGGTGGCATGTATCTGTAACCACTGCATTTGTCTCAAAGGAAAGGAGAAGGGCGGAAGGAATCAATGATTTTCAGTAGATTAAATTTTTTATCTGTTTTGATGAGGTTAATTAATGAAGAGAGGTATAGTTTATTCTTAAGCATTCCAACACAAAGAGAAAGACATTTTGGGGACTAGGGATGTAGTTCAGTTGGTAGAATGCTTGCCTACAGTATAGGAGCCCCTGGATGTGATGATAACATGCCTGTTAATTCTAGCAAGAGAGGTTAGAGGATCAGTGGTTCAAGGCCAGCCTGAAATAAACGTTATACTGTTTTACATGAGACACACACACCCCCTCTAAAATAACAACAAAAGAAGAAGAAAAATCCAGGTATGTACTAGACAGTTTGATCATTCAGACATACAGAATCTAAATTTGTTTAGTATTCTATCAATAACTTTCTGTTTCACATAAGACAAGATCAAAAGACACTAAGAAAATGGCTTTCATTTGTCTCAGGAAAGAAAACGGAAAATAAAGGAGTGTCTGCAGTATGATGAAGGTGATAAATGTTAGAGCAGAGTGAGTTGGAGACTACCTGGGCTAAATCATGATACCCTTTTCCAAAACAGACAGACAGCCTTACCACCAAACATTAAAAGAAGGGACTGGGGTTGTGACTGAGTGGCAGTGTGACTGCCTACCGTGAATGGTGCTGGGCTTGGCCTGCAGCACTAACAGGAAAACAGGAGGACATTTCTTTTTTCCTCTTTGTTATTTTGTTATTTTAAGACAAGGTTTCTCCGTGTAGTCCTGGCTGTCCTGGAACTTGTTCTGAATACCAGGCTGGTCTGTTAAACTCAGATATCTACCTACCTCTGCCTCCTGAGGTAGGATTAAGGTTGTGTGCCACCACTGCTAAGAGTAAGTTTCTTAAATGTTGAAGTTATTAGAAAGTTCTTCAGTCTCAAAGTGACATTTAGAATCCCATTTTTATTTTATACTTTGTATTCTTTATTTTATACTTCTAATTTTTATTAAAATTTTATATATTTTATTATATAAAAGTGATTTGTGATACAAACATATTCATAGAGTTAGATTTCAAGGAACAGTATAGATGACTATCATTAGCTCTCAGAGTACCAGCCAATTTTAACACAATTTTTTAAAAGTTGCTTTTGTTTAAAGATGACTTTTAAGTTGCTTTTGTTTAAAGATTACTTGCATAGATGTCATGAAATAATGTAGTCTCAAAGAAAGGATTTACAGTGTTATTTTATTACCAGGGAACCAAGAGAAAGGCTGTATCAGGATACCAGTCTCATGATGATAGTTCTGACAATTCAGAATGCAGCTTTCCTTTCAAGTATACATACGGTGTAAATGCATGGAAACATTGGGTCAAAACTAGGCAACTCGATGAAGATCTTCTGGTATTAGATGAGCTGAAGTCCTGTAAGTGTTTTGATTTTGTTATCCTAAGTTCTGTTTAAAAATCTGTTTCTGTACTTAAGTACCTTAAATATTTTTCTTTTAATTTCTTAATTTTTTCCCCACATTACATAATATGCATGAGTGTTTTGACTACATGCCTGGGGTCTACCAAGCCCAGAAGAGGATGTTGGATTTCCTGGAACTGAAGTTACAGAAAGTTGTGAGCTGCCTTGTGGGTGCTGAGAATCAACCTGGGTCCTATGGAAGAGTAGTCTTGACTTAACGTTTGAGTCGTCTCTCCAACCTCATGATTCAGTTTTAATTTATATCTGTGTGTGCATGTTTATGAATGTATTCTCTCCCCCCTTCCTCTCCCTCCCTCCCTCCCTCTCTCTCTTCACTTCCCTTCCTCCCTCTCCCTCCCTTTCTCTCTCTTCCCCCTCCCTCCCTCCTTCCCTCTCTCTCTCTTCCCCTTTCTCCCGCCCTCTCTCTCCCTCTCTCTCTGTGTGTGTGTGAGACTGAGAGACAGAGCGTGAGAGAGAGCGAGAGAGAGTCTGTGTGCCAGTGGAAGCCAAAAGAGGACACCATAGTTAAAGCTGGAATCAAAGGCAGTTATGAACTGTGCAGCATAAGTGTAGAGCCATAAGTTACTAATTATTTTTATTTCTTTTTAGCTAAATCAGTAAAGTTAAAAGAAGATCTACTCTCTCATACCACAGCTGAGCTCAACTATGGATTAGCCCATTTTGTCAATGAGATCCGGCGACCAAATGGAGAGAATTATGCACCTGACAGCATCTATTATCTCTGCCTTGGTATACAGGAGGTAAGCTTTCAGATATGATGTTACTAAGAAAAGGTGTGGTAGAGTTTTGTTTGCTGGAACTTTTAAAAAGTTTTTTGTTTAATTTATGTGTGTGTATGTATGTGTACAAATGTGTTTTTTTTTTTTTTTTTTTGGTGCCCACAGAGGCCAGAAGACAGTGTCAGATACCTTGGAGATAGTGTGTTTCTAGGTGTTTGTGAGCTGTCTGATGTGAGTGCTGACATCTGAATTCTTATCCTTATGGTTGAAGGTGCTCTTGGGTAGATATCTCTCCAATCTCAGTTTTCTGAGATTTCTATTGGCTAACTAGGAAAACTAGAATATAATCTCTTTGGAAATACTTAGGGTACATAAGGGATTTTTCTAAGGTATTCTGTGCTTTTCTGTAACACAGTACACACATTCCTTACACCTTCAAGTTCTTTAGGACAAAAGCAATTAAGTCAAGTGCTCCCTTCCCCTCCTTTTAACAGGATTTTACTGTGTAGTGATAGCTAACCCGAGACTCACAGAAATCCACCTGCCTCTGCCTCTCACATGCTGCAATTAGCATGTGCACCACCACACTTGGCCTCATGCATTTTTTGTGAGGAGTCTTAACAGCATCGTGTATTTGGGGACGACATCCCTTTTTAGTAGTTGCAAGTAAATGAATTCATGGACTAGCTACAGAGTTTCCTTTAGAGTTGCTGATGTTTTTATTTAAGTATAGGACATAAGTATAAGTATATATACTTAACCCACACTAGCAATGCTAAGTAAAATGCTGGACTTGTTTCTTGTTTCATCGGTCTAGTTAAAGAGACATTACTTTTGACCATGCAGATGTTAAGATCAACTATTTTTCTGTATGAATCAGAACACTAGGGTTGGGTGAGAAAGGGAGAGAAAATTTTAGACTTGTTATTTTTTACCCAGTGGTATATTTTGTTGTGTTTTAGAGTTGTATATAAAATTTTATTTAAAAGGACCTCCTGCTAAACACATCCTAAAATTGAGCTTCTAGGTTTTTTGGTTACATGATTGGTTAGTGTTGAGGGTTTGTTTTTTGTTGTTTTAATGATACTTTCATTCTTGAAGAATCTCATAGTGTACTCTGATAGATGCTCCCTCCTTCTACTCCTTTAGGATGCACTTCCAGCTCCCTACTCACTCTGTGTTTAAGGAGACATTGATTGGCCTTTTGAGACTGGCTGTCATGTAACAAAATGGTGGTTTCTTTGTCCCAGTTTTATCTTATCCATCCAATTTTTCATCCCTTTTTCAAATACTTTAAGCTATGTAAGCTGCCACTGCTTACACGTAGATACAATTCGTTTGTGTGTATTCACCTTACATGGTATTCATCTTAAATATTCTATACCTACTAGTTTTCTTTGGTTGTTTCCTCCTAATCTTTCTGCATATATGATCATGTTACTTATCTGTCTCTTTCTTTTTCTTTTTTCTGCATTGTTTTTTTTTAAAGAATTATTTCTTTATTTTTTATGTTTACCAGTACACTGTAGCTGTCTTCAGACATACCAGAAGAGGTTATCAGATCCCATGACAGATGATTGTGAGCCACCATGTGGTTGCTGGGAATTGAACTCAGGACCTTTGGAAGAGCAGCCAGTGCTCTTAAACACTGAGCCATCTCTCCAGCCCTCTGCATTGTTTTAAATAACACGTTCCTTTTTTCCCCCAGTACACTGTAGAGTAAAAGTGGTGAGAGAAGAAATCTTGGAAGGGAAGTCTTCAGTCTTTTACTGTTGTGTGTGATGTTACCACCTTTTTTGTTAATTGAACTTCCTGTTACTTCCTGGAGATCCAATGCCAGTAGCAGTCAGAGACAGCCCCCCACTTCAGTTGTTAGGGTATCCACATGAAGACCAAGCTGCACATCTGCTACAAATGTATAGGTGGCCTAGATCCAGCCCCTGCATGCTCTTTGGTTGGTGGTTCAGTCTCTGTGAACCCCCCTGGCCCCATGTTGGTTTCCTTGACCCCTCCCGTTGACTCAATTCTATCCCCTCGAGTCTTTCATAAGACTCACAAGCTCCACCTGATGTTTGACTGTGGGTCTTTTTCCATCTGTTGCTAGGTGAAGGCTCTCAGGAGACAGTTATGATAGGCTCTTGTCTGCAAGCATAGCCGCGTGTCATTAATAGTGTCAGGGGCTAGATCTTTTAGATGGAATGGGTCTCAAGTTGGGCCAGTCATTGTGTTCCTTCAATCTCCATCTTCATCCCTGTGTGTTTTGTAGGCAGGACAGATTTTGGATTAAAGGTTTTGTGGGTGGGTTGATGTCCTTCTCCCTCCACTGGAAGTCCTATTGGCTATAGGAGATGGCCACTCAGTCTCCATATCCCCTGTTATACAATTTCTTAAATAAATAGCTAGTTTAAATATACCAGTTAGAAAGTTCTGTTCTTTTGTTGAGGAAGGACTTTACTATATAGTTCTGGCTGGTCTGTAACTTGTGTAGACCTCAAATTTAGAGGAATCCTCTGTCCCTGCCTAATGGAAGTTCCAGCCGTTGCTGGCTTTCTGTGTGGGTGCTAGGAATTTGAATTCAGGTCCTTAGGCTGGTAGGATGGCTCTTGTCCTCTGAGCTGTTGCTTCAGCTTCCCTAAATAGTAACTTGACATTATCCGAGAATTTCTTTTAGGATTTTATAGGTAAGAATGTAGTAAAGATTTTTTTTTTAAGCTGCGAACAGTATTTATTAAATTTAAGAGGCAGTGAGACTAATGGTCTGTGTAGTTAATTTAAATTCTATACAAATGAGTTTTCAGTAAGTATAAAATACATCCAACCAACTTTATTTGTGAGCCTCTTAAGATTACATTTATATAGACTATAAGTAAATTTATAATATTTATGACATGAACTTGAGTTTTTCCAATCCTTCATTTTAATTTTTTTCTGTTTACATTGGCACGAGCTTTGGAAATTAACATATTCCTGTTGATAAATTACATTTGCTGACTTCTAGTAGTTGATTTTCTATGTACCTATGCTAAATGTTAACTGTTATTGGTTTGTTCTGATAAGGAGAGATGAGTTAAATAGTAGCTTATCTAAGATACACAGCTTATGTTTAAGTCTGGGTCAGATGACAGACCAGCATAGTACTTGGGAGGCTGAGGCAGGTAGACTCATGAGTGTGAAGTCAGCCTGGGCTACATGGTGAGTTTATGGGCTTGCCTGGGCTACGTAGCCCTGTCTCAAAGTAATCAAGTAGAATCTGAGCAGTTTGACTTTAAAAATCTTTATTAACCAGGAATAGTCTTGCATGCCAACATACGTGAGGCAGGAGGGTTGTGAGTTTGAAGTTGGTGTGGGCAGTGAAGGAGAACAGCAAGGATGCTACAGTAATAAGCTTCACTCAAGTATTTGGAATATTTATACCAAGGAGTATTGGTAGCACGGTTTTGGAACAAATTAATTTTACCCCAGTATCTCAGGGAAAGGTATAACAATGGGCTGAGGAGATGGCTCAGTTGATAAATGACTTGTAGAACAAGCATGAGGACCAGAATGTGGATCTCTAGCACCTTATAAAAAGCCAGCTGTCGTGCTGTCTGCTCGTCATCCCAGTGTGGGAAGGTGGAGACAGGAGGCTCCTTTGGCTTCCTGGCCAAGCAGCAGTCTACCTGAACCAAGTGAGCTCCCTGTTTAGTAAGGGACCCTGTCTCACAAAAACATAGAGAACCTCTGGTTTCTATACACACACACACACACACACACACACACACACACACACACACACACA